TTCCGTCTACTAGCCAATGCCATCTGGCTACTACCCAGGGGAGGGCCTTCTCTGTGGCAGCTCCGGCCCTTTGGAACGAACTCCCTGCGGAGATCGGACCCTCACCTCTCTCCAGGCCTTCCAGAAAGCCGTTAAAACCTGGCTGTGTCGGCAGGCCTGGGGTCGATGAGTTCCCTTCCCCTCTCGAATCGTGTGGCTGTTGGTTATTTTAAATACTTGTATTTGTAGTTCTAATGTTTCCCTTCCCCTCTTGGGTTTGTGAGCCGCCCTGAGTCCCGCTGGGAATAGGGTGGCATATAAATAAAACGAAACTTAAACCTAACAATCCTAGCACGCCAGGGCCCTCTGGCTGCAGAAAAATTACACTATCGAAGAAATAGCAATCGTTCTTAGACTTATATGCCACTTTACAGCCCTCTCTAAGCGGTTTAAAGTCAACATATTGCCCCAAACAATTTGGGTCCTCATTTTACCCACCTCCGAAGGATGGAAGGCTGAGTCAACCTTGAGCCTGGGTGAGTTATGTTGCACAATGAAAAGGGGGCGACTTGACAGCAGTCAATCAAATATCTCTCGGGATGCCCCAAAGAAGAGGGGCTCAAGCTATTCTATTCTCCAAAGCCCTTGAGGACAGAACAAGAAGCAACGGATGGAAACTAATCAGGGAGAGAAGCAATCTAGAAGTAAAGAGGAAACTTTTTGACAGAACAATCAACCAGTGGAACAGAAGTTGCCTCCAGAAGTTGTAAATGCTCCAACATTGGAAGTTTTTAAGAAGAGATTGGACAACTGTTTGTCTGAAGTGGTGTAAGGTTTCCTGCCTAGGCAGGGGGTTGGCCTAGAAGACCTCTAAGGTCCCTTCCAACTCTGCTATTCTATTCTGTCCTTTGGCGAGTTGTCCCACAAGTTGGACATGGTAGGATAGCTCTGACGAATCGGCCATGGCAAGTTAGAATAACAGAGTTGGAAGGGGCCTTGGAGGTCTTCTAGTCCAACCCCTGCCTAGACAGGAAACCCTACACCGTTTCAGACAAATGGCTATCCAACATCTTCTTAAAGACTTCCAGTGTTTGGGGCATTCACAACTTCTGGAGGCAACTTCTGTTCCGCTGGTTAATTATTCTCACTCAGGAAATTTCTCCTTCGTTCTAAGTTGCTTCTCTCCTTGATTAGTTTCCATCCATTGCTTCCTGTCTTACCTGGCCGCGGGAGACACTGACATCAAATAAACGGTGGAATAGAATCCTTAAAGAAAGGATGCCCAAGGAAGCGACAAATCGAAATGTCAATGAAAAGATTAAAATCATTGTAAAAATTAGTTTAAATCCTCGAATTGTTGAATTGGCATGCAGTGAGTTATCCTGCACAGTGAAAAGAAGGACCAGGGGAAACACGATGAGAGTCAATCCAATATCTCAGGGGTTGCCCCAAAGAAGAGGAGGATCCACCTATTCTCCAAAGCACCTG